TAAACAATCATTTTACATAGAAAACATGTTTATAAAAGTTTCAGACATTCAGACATTCATTAATCTTTTAAGGGTTCTGAATACTTTATTATAGGATTTAAATGTTGCTGTCAAACTGAAAAAGCAAAATGCTCAATATCAGAAGTGAAAATACTCAGGAGTCATTGGAGGAAGGAACAAAGACAGAATGAAGAAATAAGGTTAGCAGGGTTAAGAAAAAGCAAACAAGAACGATTGCAAGGAAGGAAATGATGATGAAATGAAGTTAGTATCATGGATCACGTTAGCTGCGGAAGCTGACGTGATCCACTCAGAAAGTATTTTAGCATTAGCAAGCGAGCTAAGGTTAGCCAGCCACGCTGAATAACGTTATAACAGTCCGATCGGCCTGGAGTCTGGATGAAGCTAGGTGACTAAAACCACAATATCTCAGTATATTCCAGCTGGTAGAAACAACCATCAGCTTTGTACTGATTATACTAACATGCAGCTGTAATAGTTGAGTGTTTTTACAGCGTAGTATTTGTACCTTTACAAAAGTAAATGATCTGAATGCTTCCACTGTGATAGCTGCATTTGAGAAAATAATGTGTGAATGTTCAGTGTCAGTTCAGGCCTCTTTCTCTGCTCCAGTTTCTCCATTCAGCCTCCAACTGTTTGCATAATTAGTTCTTTTATCAGTGTGTGTGTGTGTGCGTGTGTGTGTGCTCTTGTACACAATCACTCCTTTCACACACTGAGTCCTCTAACAAACACCAGTGGCTGATGGGAATTTTCACTTACTTTAGTTTTATTGTTGCAGTTTAAAAAAATACATAAAAAAGACAAAGATAAATCATATTCAGTGCAGGGAGGGAGGTTTAAATTTTAGTTTTATAAAACCCTAAATTAAACATATGATATGTAATTCCTGCCACTAGGGGGTCTCTCACAATCAGAACAATTAACAACAAAGGAAGTGTGATGAGGGTTGAAGCAGGCGGTGCGCATCATGGGAGTGTTGTCTTCACCACCCATTCGGTGGCTCATTGCAGTCAGCTCTCCCGGGTTAGGATTCCCTTCAGTGTTTTCATGGTCAGCGACGGTTCTCTTACCGGGGAAGGGGCCCAATTATCCACAGGGAGGGCTCTCCTCCTCTCCAAACAAAAACAGACCCGCTGGATTAAAACCACTAAACACACTGGAATAAAAGCAGTTCCACCTTAAACACACTGAGTAAAAGCAGTTCCACCTTAAAAATCACTGCTTCTCCCACGGCTGTTGGACATGACAAAGGACGTCCCGGAGGGGCTGCGAGCCGAAGCTGCTGCTAACGTCTAGCTCAGCTTGTTTCTCTGATTAACTTAAGATCCAGACGTCCGATGGACTAAAATCCTTCATCCGGTTCAAATTGTAGAGTTAAAAAGCACCAAGATTCTAAACAGTGGGATGGTAAAAAATCAGTAATGAAAAATAAGAGCTGCTAATCCTGGGGTGTTTTGGTTTGTCAGTTGTTTTTCTGTTTGGCATGAACATGGTGCTTGAGTTGCCTCCTCCTGTCCTGACTCCATTTACATTAACCATGAGAATGGTGTGTGTGTGTGTGTGTGTCAGTAAAAACAGGCTTTATTAAAGAAACAGGACTGAACACCTCAGAGCAGTTTTGGAGCAGCAGGTGGATTAACACGACCGGGTTCAGTGTCCTCTGCGCCTTTTGTGCTGTGGATTTTTACAGTTTTTGAAATGAGAGAACCAAATCCAAAAAAAGAGCTGTTTGGTAATTTGTTTTTTTTTTTAAATTTCATTTTAAAAAATGGAAATTTTTGGTTTCCTCAAAACAAAACTCTTGTTTGACCACAAAGTACACCGGACGGACGGGTGTACTTTCTGTTCATGTGTTACAATTGCATTTTTTTTAAGACATTTTTTTAATAAGAAGTCCTTGAGTCGGTCAGTGTTCCAGCAGTAGCCCCTCAGTGACCACTTTATACAAAACTTTATTTAATTAATTTACTTTCTACAAGTTTAAAATAGCTTCATGGTTGTATTTTATAGGCAGAATCCACTCAAAGTTATTAGTTTATATTACAGTCGAAGCTTGAAATCATAGAATGGTTATAGATATCTTGCTCACAGGATGAAAGTCTGACGTGTTTGTTTAGGAAACATATCAGATCTTTGCGTCACATTTACATCCTCCACCCCCACGTGGCTCCTGATAACATCTGATTAAACCTTTTGCCCATGACAGCTACCCTAAAGAGCCGGCTTTGGGAGAACTTCATTTGGCTCCACTTTATTTGGATAGTCCGCCTACAGGAGTTATAGGATTGTCTGTAACTTTCAGCAAGCTCAGCAATTAGTGAGGATTGAAAACAATTCAGCTTAGTTCACAAATAAAGGTTGTGAATGGAATTCAATTTAGATAATCGAGTGCCTTCTCTCTCCGCTTCCTACAGTGATTTATCCAACAATAAATTATGTTTGATTTCTACATTAGCCAAGAGCTAACTTATAGCTAACCTAAGCTGGGGTTGTTCCAGTTGGCTGTGTCTTGCTGTGCGGTGTGGCATTTGGTTGTTTACATGTTAGTGCATGTTGATGTTGCCTTTACTAAAGAACACTACGTTCTCATAAACCCTCCAGAAAATGCTTCATACGACTTCCCTCGCTGCATATTTTGAATATTTTGATACTATGGTACTGTGACATTTTGCTTCATCACTTCTGCCTTCTATGAAGCTCAACCACACAGTGTGACCAAACACCTCTTTGAGGAAGTGGGTGTGCAGAAACCATGTTGCATAATAAATCACCCAGTTCTTGTCTTTATTTTCTACTTTCACTAAAATACTGTTAAGACTGAAAATTATAAGGTTTTTTTTCTCTCCTATGCAAAATTTTCAAAGACACATTCAAAAGATAATTGGAAAGCATCAAAGGCAGGACTGAAGATGAGTCTCAGGCATATAAGACTGTATCATATGCATAGAATTGACTTTGAAGTACTGATTCCACTGATGTTATTATGTATTATATGTACTGAGCTGCTTCAACTGTGAACATGAATAGTAAATTTACAGATAACTTCATTTTCCAAATGTATTACAACTCAGCTGTAGCTGAGCTACAAACTTTTACAAACCAGCATCTTCTCTTT